AGGGCCCCACACCCACAATCCATCACTCCTCCAATTTATTCTGCATCCCTAAGAGGACAGAACAGTCACTTCAAAGAATCTAAATTGAAGTCATCATGTCTAAGATCCTTCAAAACACTGGTGATTTAACTTTACCACAGAGGGAACATTATCAAATGTGAAACAAAAAGCCACCTGTCTGTCAGCAAAATGCCTGAAGAAGCCACAGTAATCAAGTTTCTCCTCTTTCCCCCACCATTCAGCCACTTAAGTATTTCCCCACCCCACCTTACCTGTGGACAGACCCCTTCCACAGCATCTACCACAATGATGCATCCATCACAGATGCGAACAGCTGTTGACACTTCAGAGGAGAAATCCACATGCCCTGGTGAGTCTATGAGATTAATCAGGTACTCCTGGTTATCTGAAATAAAGTTTGAAAACACACAATTTCAACTGTGCATGTATGGAATATGTTTCCTCAGGCCTTTGAGAAAAAGCTTCCAAGCTTCCAAAATATATATGAGGTTAGTGTACTGGAGCTATCTATGCTTCTGCTAGAGCACCTGCCTGCCCCACACAGGGCCTGGATTCACTCCTCAACACTGGGGGGAAAATACACCGTGAGCCAGGTGCGCTAAATGCTCTCAATATGCCAGTCGCACCACTGACCCATGATGCTGCTGGCTCTATGACAAATCACAGTTTTCTCATTTTACAGATTAGAAAATGGAGATGAAAAGAAACCAGTGCCGACAGGGCACGAGTGAAGCCTGTTCACAGGAGCCCATACACCCATTCTGAAAGACACAAAGGATGGGCTAACTTTGGCCAGGTATCTTCTGAAAGAGTAGCACATAAAGGAGCTCAATTGAGATTTAAACTCAAACCCAAGAAATCCTACAGAAATTTACACAATTCACAAAAACTCTATAAATACTTAAGCAGCAGCTCTATGCCAAGCAGTGTGCTATATATGCTCACACAGGCTCTCATTTTTGACACTCATGACAAAATGTGATCATCACCATGACTAGTACTAATATTCACAGAGCCCACCAAACCCTCAGTCCCCACCACACCAGAACTAGACACTGAGGTCAGAGATTCAGCCTTAATCATAACCTGGCAAACAAATGAAATATAGTAACACTGCACAATCTTACAATCATTTGTCATTACTGCTAAACTCAATAGAATTCTTTATTAAAAGCAGAATAACTATATCCTTTTGTTCCTCCCCTTAATGCAGTGTTTATTAACCTTAGAGTACTCAAGAATTACCTAGGGATGAATGCTATTATTTATGGGCCACTTGAAGAAGGGCACCTTAATATTATTGTAATGACTTGTTCTGGGCCCCAGGTGGTAAGATGAAGATAAAACAAAACAACAGCAACTGTAGGGGGAGTTACCATTTAAGGACTGCCTGTGCCTGACACCGTTCTAAGTATATAATGTGTACTGCAACTCTACGGTAGTTCCCTGCACAGGCCCCTTTCACAAAACAGTTCACCAGAACACAGCTACAATCTAACTCTGTGCTTAAGCACCTGAGGTCAAACAATACACAGTGGTAGACAAATTCACACTCATCTGCCACGGAAGACCAAACCTTAGGATTACATCTAGGATTGAGCAGGTAGTAAAACCTCAAAAGAGCAAGGCAAAATCTTCCTGGGGCTCACAGGAGATCGCCTTCCTCAGTACCACTGCCCCACTCCCATGGTCTTTACAGGTGAAGTGCTTTGTAAGGTCCTGTTGCAGCTACTAGGGAAAGCTTCAACCAAGGACTGTGGGCAACTTCAAAGAAAATCAAGTCAAATAACCAGGCACCAAAGCAAGGGTCCATTGTTTGTAATAAAGTCTCTCCCTATCAGACCTCACCGCCAATGTTCACTACCCTGTTGGATATACACCATGGCCTCAAGTAAATCAGCAGAAGACAAATGAGCAAGTCTAGCATGGTCCAGAGTGCTATCACGTAAAGCAAAAGCAAGATTGTTGCAATCACTTGGAATTTCTATAGCCTAAACCTTCATTTCAGAAATGCTGTTTACCCCCAAAGTTACACAAAGCCACAAGTCAGAAGCATATCCAGTTCCAGCTAATGGTCTTGTCACTTCTTTGATCTTAGGTACCTTACTTAGCAGTTGTGGAAATTACACTTGAGTGTTTCTTTAGTTAAATTCCAGACTTTAGAATGAGGGACTTTAAGATTCTTTAGCTAAATTCCAGACTTTAGGATGAGAGACTTTAAGATTCCTCATCTTAAATGAATGAGATTCCTCATCTTATTGAGAAGCTACCTGAACCAGACATACAGTAGAAGTTTAAGAGACTCAGTCTCCTGTCCAGTCCTTCAGATTCTAAAAATACACTCACAGAGAGATCTCAGGCCTCCTCTTCACTCATCTTTCATTGGCACAACAGGATTTTTTTTTTTTTTTTTTTGCGGAACTGGGGATTGAACTCAGGCCTTTGCGCCTGCCAGGGAAGCGCTTATTCCATGAGCCATCTCCCTGGCTAGGATTTTTAGAGTATAGAGAAAAAAAAATACTAAGCCTAAATATGTATGCAACTCCAGACCCTGAGAAATTCAGGGTTAGGTCTATAAGGGAACAGAAAACTAGTGGCACACTGGTGTTACCATGTGAAAAACTACATCCTGAAAAATAAGTGCGTGATCAAATGAAAATGGAAAATACAGCTAACTTTTGAGTTCACAACACTCTTACATATTAAACATTCTAAGAAGCACAATAATAATAATAATAATAATAATAATAATAATAATAATAATAACAGAGGAGAAAGTACTTCACTAGTCACACCCCGAGAGAGAAACAGCGTGGCTCGGCTGAGGTGGGCCAACTGCCTCAGTGCCCTTTTAATCAACTCTCACCTTTTCCAATAGCTGCAAACGACCTTTCAAAAGTAAAGTCATCCCAAATCCATTAGAGAAAAAGGTCCATAACAAGCTCTTCTGCTGTGACTTAAGTCATTTTAAAACCTGTTTTCTCAAATTCTAGGCCCTACTTTGTATGAGAATCAAATTTTAAAAAATAGTATCCCTGAAAATTATGCGATACTATTCTTACTGGTAATGAAAATTGCAAATGAAAATAATGTAGGCATACTGAATGATATTCCTAGTTTTAACACAAATCCTAGACTTGTGTGTTCTAAAGTGTTCAGGAACAGAAAGTTCTGCTGCCTTATTTCCTGGGCATCACAAAATACCACTGATGTACAGTGGCAAGCAACTGAGAATCCTTTTCTGTGAAGTCAAGAGACGTCTCCTTAAACTATGGGGAGAAGACACAGGGAGACACTGGAAGGTTCAAACAAATGTGGGTGAGTGAGCAAAACCTAATAGGGCAGGTGTAAGAAGGTTGTCTGCAGGGCTGAGGACCAAGTTGGGACCTCAGCCTGGTGTCTGTTGCTGTTAAGAGTTCTGGTGGGAAGAGTATGGCAGGGCAGGCAAACTTGAGGATGTCTATCTTTGAAGTGACAAGTGTGGGTTGTCTGAGGCAGAAATGAAGGAAGGAAGCTCCACAAAGCTGGAGACTCTCAAGATGTCAAAGAATGGGTACTTGCATACTTCGGTGAAAGATGAGAAAAATGGAAGCTTATGGAAAAAGGAATACATCCATTAAGGGTGCTCCACCCCGGGTTTAAGTAATTACCACCCTAAGTTCATCAGAGCCTGGATAAACTATAAAGGATAGAACAGGCTGCTGGGATGGGCTGCTTGTTACTTCAATGCTTTGCTACCTTCTATCTGCTCTGCTGTGACAAAAACTGTGTCTCTTCTGCAATGCCCCGCTGCCATGCTACCCTGCCCAGGAGTCAGCCAACTGAGAAATCTCTACCAACTATGAGCCTAATAAACCTTTCCTCCTTTAACTTTGGGTATCAGATATTTTGTCTCAGCAAGAAAAAACATAACTTAGACAATCCCATTCCATGGATCACTGAATGAGGACATACCCATAAATTTAAGAGATGGTTTTAAAAAAATGTTGCATTACTTCAGTCTCTGGACATAACATTAATGATTTGGTATGCACCTATCCAAATACTTTTACCTTCAGATAATGTATTTTATTAACCAAACACATTCGTATCTTTAAAAAAATACTCTGCAACTTCCTTTATTGGCTCTTTCATCATTTTTTTCTGTATCATTACTTAGATCAAGCATTTAACAGCTGCATAAACATCACAGCATGGATATATCAGTTTTTTTAACCATTCTATCAACAGTTAGTCTGTTGGCATTTTTTTCACTAATACAAGTTTTTTGGTGAACATCAGCGAAAATACACTTCTTGTGCTTACTTGACTATTTCTGTCAGAAATATTCCTGGAAATATTGCTATGAAAATGACAGCCTCATTCGTGGACATGGTAACTTATAGCTAAGAAAATAATACTCCAAATCTAATACGTAGACTGTGAGGCAGAATAAGTATCCAGCCAGGAAAAGGAAGACTAAGGCCAATGTAGCAATGCCCAGGGCTCCTAACTTTCCTGTGAAATTAGCCATACAATCCCTTGGCAGGAGGGGCAGGGGTAAACTACTGGCCCTTCTGCTCTTGCATCAGCCAGTGTTCCCCATTAACATCCAGGCCTGGATGGCCTGGCTCTTATGAGAAGTCACGGTGAGAGGTCATGATAAAATACATGGAACCTAAAGCAAAGAAATGGACGTTTGCAAAGAATTTAGACAGAAAGGAGGGCAGGAAAGTCACAAAGCTGTGCTTCTTTAAAAGAAAGACAAAATTACCTTTTGCATAATGTAGTGAAATGGCACTGGATTTCATAGTGATCCCTCGGATCTGTTCATCTTCTCGGCTGTCCATGTACCTTAACTGGAACAACAGCAGTATGCTTACTTACTTCCACTGAACTAAAATACAACATTCAAACAGGCTGATTTTTGTTTTAAACACTCGTACAGATGGTTTTTTTGTTTTGTTTTGTTTTGTTTTTAAGGACTAGGTAGCTGAATGAAGAAAGAAAGTTAATGGAGGGGAAGAAAAATACAAATAAAACTGAGTACTGGTAGAACTCAAATGTATTGCACACTGGGCACCCTCTGGACCACTGCTCATCCACACTGCAGCCAAGAATGAGCAGTCCTTGAGAAGTCACAGAGGGTGGCATTGCAGGAATTCCTCTGTTCACCACAAACATAGCCATTCTTTTTCTGTTCCTAGGTTAATTGACATGTTCAAGTTCTATGCAGAGATTTAAAGAGAAAATTTCTAAAGGCATAAGAACCTTTTATTGCATTCCCCAAGTTTACATATTTTAAATATTTTAATGATAATAATGGTAGATAATATTTATTATCACCATTTTGCTGGTTTTCAAAACTTCAGTGTCCACAAATAAAAGCAGATTCTCCAGGCTCTACGGTGTCTTGCCCCAGTGCTGGCACCCTTAACTGTGCTCCCGGCCCCAACACCACTCTACCCTCTGGCCTCCCCTCAAGAGTGGGCCCTCCTGTTCTAGCCTTCATTCTCTGCACCATAAGATTCTTGAAAATTCTGAACTTAACCTTTACATTTATACAGTATTTTCATTCAAAAGTCTTGAGAATAATTTATTGATACAATATTACCACCCTAATTCATCTCACATTAATTCTTAAATTTTCAGAAAGTATTGCATTTCCACAGCTCTGGCAAAACCAGAGTCCTAAAACTTACCTAAAACTTCTGGCCCCATGTAGTGATCTTTTCAATATGCACCTTCTTGATTCCAGGGGAGCATTACACAGTTACCCTTTGTGCATGCATGTGCTCGTACCATGTACAAAATATCTTTCAAAGGTTTGAAATCTACAGTTTCCCTCCAGTCTCTCCTTAGATTCCTGGTTGGTTCCATTTACGGGCTTTTCCTTCAAAGTCTATCACTCTTGTCAATGCAAATAGCACAAAACAAGCAGAAAGACTAACAATACAATAAACACCTGCATACACACTACTTAAGAAAGCAAAAGAATAGTGTTTCCATTAAAGTCCCCTGGGACCTAGCTGATAGGTAACCACCATCCTGAAATGCACCTTGTCCATTTCCTTGCTTTGCTCATAATTTCTAAAAATAAATGTATTACTAAGTAATACATCATTTACAATTTGTATGTATTAAGCTTTATATGAATGTAATCACACTATGTGTAATATCATTTTTTTACTATTATATTCCTGAGATTTATCCAGGAGAGATATAACTCTAACTGATGAACTGTCATTACTGTAATATTCCACCTCCTAAATCTACCACAACTATTTATCCAGCCTCTTGGCGGTGGATATGTATTGACTTCTGTTTCCTTTAACTGTAACTAAGATGATATAAACTGGAGTGTATCTCTCGTACATAAACTATCTAGGAGTGCAATTTCTCAATTATTAAATCTGTTCCCCAGACAACTAGCTTCAAGCACCCTATTCTACTTTTAATCTTCCTAGAGCTACTTTACTGATTCAATTTTACTTCCCCATTTCCTCATCTCTACACTCCTAGTCACCTGATAAATCCTGTTGTTTATATCCTGGATTTACTAAGGAGAGAATTTTTAAAAAAATTTTTATACTACTAACTCAATTATTCCAAGCCCTTTCACAGCTAGAAACCAAAGGTTTCTTTCATTTCCCAAAACACTGTTTCATATGATCCACAGGCTGAAGACTTTCTTTGGTACTGAGGACACCTAGGTTAGCCTCCAATCATTGTAATCATTTTCTTTCCCACTAATCTCTAAGCAAATCCTCACTCAAATTGGATACAACAAACAAATTAGACTTCACATATGTTATCTTTCACCACTTGATGACTTCTCTGCCTTCTCAAATCACCCAACTCATTCACCTATGAAAAATCTTTCTTTGTAAACTTGACAATTTTCATTTGATGTAATGCAAAACTCTTTCACACTTACAAAATATTCCTATGAGGCAATACAAAGCAATATAGAAATAACTTTTCAACATCTGTTTAGCCCCCCCTCCCCCCGTAGTGGGGATGGAACTCAGGATCTTGTGCTTGTCAGGCAGGCACTTACACCACGGATCTATATCCCCAGCCCTATTTATCTCATTTAATGGATCAACAGCTGCTTTGATGCAGGAACTATGTAACTATGCGTGGTTGTTATTGCTGTTTGTGGCACTGGGTATAGATCCCAAGGCCCTCACACTGAGCTACATTCCAGTCTCAAAAAAAAAAATTTTTTTTAATTTTTTTGAGAGTCTTAATAAGCTGTTCAAGTTAGGCTCGAACTTGTGAATCTGCCACCTTTATTTCCCAAAGTGCAAGGTTAAAGGCATGTGACACCATGCCCAGTGTAAGAACTCTGTTTTATACTACTTAGACCACTAAAGAGCAAGGCAAACGGCTCATGACTTTGTAGATAGCTAATACTGAAATGCAACAAGTACTCATCAAATATAACATACCTTGCCTGCGAGACGGCTGGAGATGATTCCATTACTGGATATGAGACAATCAGCAAGAGTAGTTTTTCCTGTTAAAATAACATTAATTAGAATCTATGTCTTAAAGAAAAAGGGGGGGGATGGCAGGATGGATTGTACCTACAGATTTATGTTTAGTCAAAAAACTTGGTTTTACAAAGATTTCTTAGTTAGCTACACCAACTGCCACCAGACAAAAGAGACACTGTAAAAGACTCACAGACTTCTGAACAGAACACCACCTGGAAGGTCATAAATGTCGACACTACTGTGCTGAAACCTAGCCTCCCTGGAAATTTCATCTACTCACTTGGAAAGTCAGCAGGCAACTTTTCAAAGCACAATTCTCTTAATTAAAGTAAACTTTAAATAATGGGCACAGACTTTTAACTAATGAAGCAAATCACCATGCCAATCCAAACAGACCACTGTCCTATAAGAATTCATCTGTCCTATAAGAATTCAGTCAAGTTTACAATTATTATTACCAGCCATCCATATCTATACTAGTGACCACATTTATAGACTTCAGTCTCTGTTAGCTCAAAATGACAAAAGAAAAGCAATGACTTTTGTTTCTGAAAGGTACACTGAGTAAAACAGTATTTTCCCATGAATGAACTTACCTGGAATTTTCCAGTTAAACTGCTAATTATTGCTAATCAGTTTGAAGAGGACATCAGCTACACTGTGGCCTCCAGGGCAACTTCATAGCCAAACATAACTCTACACTTCACTTTATATTAAACTCTTTGTATTACCTGTACACTTATAGTTATCTTCACTAGCCTACCACTAAGGTTCACACAATTTCAAGCGGTACAACTAGGTAACTTTGTCTAAAGAATGTCATAAGTATACATAATTAGTGCAGCTGGGTTGCTCTAACAAAAGGAGAGGTTGTTCTTTAATGTAAGTCCTTACTGCACTCTAGGAACTTTAGCAAAGCTATATGTAGCAAAGCTAATCTGTATAATAATTTAAACCAGAGATCAATCAGTGGGACAACTTGAGATCTTTAATAATGTGTTATCAGTTTGCCATGTGAATATTATATTAGCATATAATCCTAGAGAAACACTTTTCAGATACCCAATAAAGTACAATTCATCCTATATATGGGAAAATATACTTACCATACAACATAAAAACCAAGAAAGTAGACACTGCTTTATTCATGACCACATTTTAGGACTAGAACAATACTTGACATAGAGCAGCTATCTTGGTTACTTTTCTCATTGCCAATACAAAATACCTGACACCAAAGTTAAAGGAGGAAAGGCTTATCTAGCTCATAGGTTATAGAGGTTTTAGTTGATAGTTGGCTGGCTCAAAGGCAGGATGGCACGGAGGGACAATATAGTGGAGAAACAGTTCGTAGCAGGCAGAAGATAGCACAAGCAAGCAAGTGACAAGCAAGAAGCCTCTTTCTGTCCCTTATACCTCATCCAAACTACTTGTACTAGAGTACAGGTAGCATTTATACTCTTTAGTTCTAGTGCCCTTATTCCTAGCATCGCACCATGAGTCAATCCCAGTGCCACATACTCTGGAACCAGCCACTTCTGAAAAGCCCCACCCCATGTGACTGCATGAAGCTTTGGGGGATATCTAGATACAGCCATAACATTCTTTCCCCGGCCCCCCAAAGACTCATGCACATCCCTTTATGCAAGAGGCATGTAGTCTATCTCTAAAAGTTGTCAAGAATCCTAACAGTTTCAGCATTGCTGACAAGTACAAGTACAAAGTCTCTGAGATTTAAGGCAAACCCTTAACTGTGAGGCCCTATACAAAGAAAGTGAAACATTTCCAACATACAATAGCACAAGGTAAAACATTAGCACTCCAAAGGGTACAAATACAGAGATATAAAGGAATGGGATCAGAGCAAGACCAAAATCCAGCAGGGCAAACAATAAGTTCCACATCCAGCATCCAAAGCAATCTGTGGCGAGATGTAAACTTGCAGATTTGAGTGGCTTCATCCAAGCACATCTAGGGGTTGTAATGCCCATGGTTTCTTTTTAGGGCCTGCTCCTCCCTACTTGCAATTTTCCTCTAATGATCCATGTTCCTGCCTTCTTAAAAATTCTGGGGTCTCAAACTGCATGTTCAGCTTCACACTCACAGCTTTACATACTGCCCTCTTAGGTGCACACTGCCTGGTCTCCCAGCCCTTCTTCTGAAATCTGTGTGCAAGCCTCCTTGATCCCACAACACTCGTGTTCTGTATGCACCTAAAGCCAGCACCACATGGCTGATGCCAAGTCCTGCTACCTACTGGAGCAGTAGCCAGGCTTTCCTTTCTTGGGTGAAAGGGTCAAGTGCCTGGGTCACTGAGCACCCTGAACTGTATCCTGAGGAATAAATTCTCCAGGCTGCTGCCATACTGGGACATGGTGCTCTGGGGCTCTCTTTACAAAGCAAAGTTTTTCACTTTTGCAATATGAGGCTATAAAGGCTGGAGTCCAGTTGTTTTTGTGATGTCCCCAGGCCATCTTTTCTATTGTCCTATTCCTTCTCAGCAATCAGTTCTCTTTCCTCTATCTTTGTAGTCCACAGTGTTGCTAAGTGGAGTTTCCTTTCCGCCCAAACTGAAAATATTTTAAGTCATTCCTCTGAGCTTTTAGCTTTTGACTGTCAACATAAATCTTGCTAAAAATCCCAACAGTTGCCATGTCACGGCCTCAACATTAGACTGCCTTGAAATTTCTTCTGCCAGTAATGAGCTTGTTGTCCTTAATCTCAATTTCAGGCAATCTCTAAAGAGATTGTTGGGCAGAGAGGCTGGCAAGACTGGCAAGAGATTGTTGAGCAAAATCCAGACAAACTTCTCACCAAGGCATAACACACACAGACTGGAGTCCAACAGTCAATGTAGTTTTTCTTCCCAGCAGATACTGCTAGAGCCTGGTCTTTAGCAGCAGACTTTCTATCAGCATTCTGGACTTTTGAGCTCTGACCAGCTTAGGGCATTCCAGGGCTGCTTTTTCAGCTAGTATCTCTGAACCTTTCCAAATCCTCTCACAAGCCATTTCCAAAGGCTCCTGAACTGCATGGACAGATACGGTCACAGCAACAATCCTTCCTCTCTGGTACGAACTTCTGCTTTAGTTACTTTTCTCATAGCAGAGATAAAACACCTAAAGTTCAGGGAGGAAAGGTTTACTTAGCTCTCAGTTTATAGAGGTTTCAATTCATAATTGATTGGTTCCATGGCAGGGCAGCATGAAAGAGGGGTATCACAGAGGAGAAACAATTCACAGCAGGCAGAAGACAGCAAAACATGCAAGTGACATACAATAAGCCTCTTTCTGTCCCTTCTATCTTACCCAAGCTATATATCCTTAGGGTGGGAAGCACTCACATCCCTAATTCTAGGAGTTTCATTTGTTTGTTTGTTTTGTTTTTTGTTACTTCCAGGTACCTTAAGGGCAGGTCTGGTTCAGCTTCTGGACCTGGGAATTGAACCAAGGTCTTATGCTCCTGACTACATTTGCCCAAGGGGCACTTTAAATAACTGAGCTATCTGAAAAAGCCCCCTAATTCTAGCACCCTTAATCCCAGCATTGCACTATGAATCAATCCTAGTGCCACACTCTAGATTCAGCCACCTCTGAAGAGCCTATGCCTTCAGGAAGCTTTGAGGAAACACCTAGACACAAACTGAAGAAGTAGCATTTCAATAGCCATTGATTGAATAAAATGAACCATAGTTTTTCTAGAGCACTATCAGTCTGAATTAATTTTAAAAATTAAATTTAAAGTAATCTGTAATGTACATATACACAGCAGTGACTTTCCACATAATTTACATGTTCCTGCTGGCTTGCACCACTGGTGGTACATGCACGACTATCTGTTGGCATGTGACAGTCCCATTAGGTGGTACAAGCAGCCTGATAGAAGAGTTATGCATGTAGGCCACATCATGGACATGTTAATTCACATAGCAAAAAAAAAAAAAAAAATCTTATCTCATACCGTCAAAATATGTGGAGCATAATTAATTATAAAAGTTCAGACAGAACAGTTAGTTGCTATATTGGTACAAAATTAATCCTTAGCTTCTGAGTGATCCACTTTTGCTCAGTTCTCAGACTGCAGCTCTTGTATCAATGGCAAGAGCCACCTAACTAACCTTTTTTGTACCTTTTAATTCATCTTAAGCACGTTTACCTATCAAATCTATTTCATTATAAGACACCTGCTTTTTTTTCCTCTCCTAATGGCTCCCTATAACCTAATACAAATAAAAATTATTAATTATTTCTCTGCTGGCCAAGAGACTCCCATTATCACTACATTTAGCTTCACATCCTATAAGGCCATGATGATAAAGCTTTCAGACCTTACAATGATACCAAAAACACCTGCTGTGGTGTAAGCACCACAGGTTCACCCCTGCTGCTGTTAGGTATGATTTTCATTCTATTTTATTCATGCTGTATACATACTGAAGCTCAAAAAGGCAAAACTATCTTGAAAATGGGAGTTCTCAATTCAGGCTACCAGCTGGAGCACTTAACCCTTATCCTAGCGTCCGTTGGAGAAAAAGCCTGTCTCTTCACTTCTTTCTATTGCCCCCTCCCCTCAAGGCAAGTTTTCTTTTACACACCAACTTTGCAGTGGCTACCAGAACTCAAAAGGAGTTTGAAACACAGAGCAAGCTCAGCATGAAGCAGCGGTAGGGTGTTACAGTGGTATCTGTCTGAATCACATGTACCATAGCCTTATTGCTATCCCTAGCCTTACCACCACATGTAGCTCCTTCTGAAAATACACTGCCAATTGCGAGTACCCACGTGATACCAACTAAACTGTGAGGTTTTATTTTTCTTAACCCATCCCTAGCTTTCCAGTTCTCTAGTTCTCCCAAACTATGGTCTCTTCTATCACATATCTACCTCAATTTGCCCCGCTTCACTCCACTTAAAACCCACGTAACAGACTAAAGAGAACACCAATCACTAGTTAACTGCATTTCAAATGCTTGCACTCACAGCATACTTCTGACATCACAGAGTTTTAAAGGAAATGACTTGCTTCTAAGCAAGCATCACTTTAAAATGCTCAGAGCGTCATCCACTGAAACATGTAGAGACAAGCCTCCCTTGCTAATGAGAACAAGCCACTTCAAAAAGATTCTTACCATGGTCAACGTGAGCCAAAACACAGATGTTCCTGATGTTGGCAGTGTTCTTCTGGAGTTCAATTATCTTATCCAAACTACTGAGCACCATGGTTATTCACTCCTGGGACTGGAAGTTAAGCCTGCATGCAGTACGAATGAAACAAGAGCTAAAGTTGGGGCAAAAGAAACTGAAACGCTAGGAGCTGACAAGCATTCTCAGATCCCTTGAAGATGCTGGAGTACGTTTCCCGATGAAACTCCAGGCTCAGTCCCAGGTCAGGCACCAAGTTAAGGGATGGATCAACAGGCACCTGAGGAGTTGCGCACCCTTCCAGGACCTGCAGCCTTACTAGGACTTGCAGCGCGCGCAGCAGGGCGGGGCGACACCCGGTCACCTAGTCCACACTGAGACGACCAATGACAGTAGAAAGGAGGTCGACGAGAAGGCTATGTCGCTTCGCGACCCTCCCCCTGCCCCCTGTCCCTGAGTCCCTCACCAATTATCTGGCGCGCTGTCACTGGAAGTGAGCGCTCGGCTTTAGGGTCTCCTAGAGAACACGGTAAAGTGTTGGGTCGCACTTACGGAGGACCCAAACAGGTGCGCCGCCCGCTGGCCACGGAAGCCCCCACCCCACCCCCGGCACCACTCTCCCGCCACCTCCGCGGGTCCCCGCATGGTTTCTCTGTGGATTCCGGGCCGCCCGGAGAGGCCGCTGCTGTGGGCCCGACCGAGACCCAAGACCCCACCCGACTCGTTCCGGCTCACACCTTCGCAGCCGCCACAGCACACCAGTCTCCGCAGCCTGCGCACGAGGGGCGGAGCCAAGAGCGACCTTTGACCCGCGCACGCCGGGCGCCGCCGGAAGTGGGCGTGGCGTCACGCTCCAGGATGCCGCGGTCGCCTTGACTACCCCTGCGTCGCGGAAGCCCAGAGACTTCGAGGGGGAGCTGGGAGCTGCAAGTATGAGGAGCCGTTGTCTGTGTCAGATCTGTACCTGCGGGTAAGAAGTGGCGGGGTGCGGGCACGGGTGGTCCCCGACCCGCAGGGACGAGGGACGGCGACGCCCCGCTTATCCGGACCCGCGAATGGTGGACGTCTCCGCACTCCTTGGCTACCCGGCAGAGCGCTTCTGTGTGATCCCGGAAATTCTTGTTCAGGGAAGTAAACTAAAATACCACCTGGGCCAGGTGAATAATAGATGTGAACGAGGGCAGATGTGAGAGGCTGGTTCGTAGAGGAGGGGTCTGGTTCGGCTGGGAGTGTACGTACCATGCAACAAAAACTGTATTAAAGAACAGCGCACAGGTCACTAGATTGCAACCCAGGTTGCGCTTTCTTCCGTCTGCAGCTGTCCATACTTCACTCCATACAGTGCTCCTTTAGGATCTGCCCAGCTGGAAAGGCAGCAGTCCCCACCCTGAAACCCAGACTTGGGCCGTGAGCTCTGCCTAACTACCTTCCACCACCTGTAAACACAGATGTCCCCTTCCTCAGCTTCACTGTTGACACAAGGATTAGATTATTTGCTAAGTACATGTGAATGTGCCAGTCCCTTCACGTGGTAATCGTCAAAGAAAAAGCACCTGCTGATGCAAAGCAAGTTTTCTATCATATACATAATATTAGACATAGGTTGTGTTATTCGATATAGGTTGAAAGATAAACTAGTTTTTCAGGTATAAATTATCTGGTTACGAGAAAAAAAATAGATATTTTGTCCTTCCCATTTGTCCCAACGCCATCTTTTCCTTCTTGTGACACTAAAAGAGAGCTAACTGTATTTCATCTCCCATTAGGGACATCTGATTTCCTCTCTTCCATGAACTGTTTCTAAAAAGACAGGAGAAGTTGATGGCTTCAGACAGCTGTTCCTCTCTGTCCTGGCAATCTCCCTACAAGGGAATGCAGAAGTTTTGACTGCCTGCTTGGAATAAAAGAGACATGTGGAGGTCAGCCTAGGAGGCTGTACTCTTAGAGACTGAGACAGGAGGATTTCTGTGTGAGCCCAGCTTGAACAGTTTAGTGACGTAGCAAAACTGTGTCTCAGAATGAATAAACAAATACATAAATATGAACTATGCTGGGGAAAGATAATAAATGTAAAAGCCCTGGTTTACAAACAGAAACCTCTTTAGGGAAGTGTTAACCTTCTGCTACTTTATCAGTTTACTGGAAAAGAATCTCCTTTTTTTATTTTTAGGGAAGGGTCTACAAGGTGTTTGGGGTCTCACTACTAGACTGGACTCGTAGTGATCCACCCGCTTCCCAAGAAAATGGCAACCTTTCTGCCCCACTTCAGACTCTAACCCACATCCTTGTTCCATTTTTTTTTCTGTTGAGATATACTACTATGGGTTTTTCCAATTTATTCTGTTGTTGGCTCCATTCTACCCCCCTTAAAGTCAGGGATTTTCCTAATACTGTCCTCAATAGCTTTGGGTAGTTGTCCTTTATTAAATACTTCATGAAGGAATGAATGACCATACTATAGTAGGAAGTGAATGTGAGTGGTGTAAATTAACAAATTTTTTTATATTAATATTTGCAAAGTTAGGAATCTAAGCCAATGAATCTAGATATTCAAAGGTGTATTACTAGTGTGGCCTCCAGGAAAATTAAAAAACAAATAATAAAGTTCCTTCTGAGGATTGAAAATGGGCTAGAAAGTTTTACTGCCATTTATGTTTTTTTTCCACACAGGTTTATCTCAGTGTGAATATATTATTGCCATGGAAAATAAAAAAGTGACAAATCCCCAAAGTTGACTTCGCTCTTGTAACAAAGTACACCTCTCTCGGAATCTCTGTGCACACACTGTGTATCCTGCTCCTAACTCTTGCAAGAGTCTTGGACCCTGCTTGGCACTGACCTACTTCAGCACTTCCACAGCCTGCATTTGCAGCTGATACCCTGGAATCCCTGACTCTCCTGACTTCAGGGTTTCTTAGGTACCCGTGACACCACTTCTTCACTCTCCCCTACACTACAGTTCTTCATGCTGTCCAGCGGCCTCCAAGCAAAGAATCATTTCTCTCATTTTCTTTCTGGGCATTCACTGGGTTCTGTCATGCTAGCTGGTGCAGGCTTATCCACAGAGCATGTGCATTTTCTCCAGTTCCAGCTGCAGCCAGCTTGTGTTGTCAGCCCTCCCCACACAGCTGGGGTCTACAAGTGTACCCGACTCAAAAACCTGATGCGATATTTTGCAAACAATATAAATTTGTTTGGGGGTTTTGTTACGTTGTTTTTTAAAACTTTTATCTCTTTAGTTAGATTGAAATATATATAATGAAAACACCTCATAATCTTTTCCATCAAATATTGCAAATGTTCCTTCAGACTTGCTTTACACACACGCTGCTTTTTATTTTTAAACAATGAGCACACACACTGTACATGCTGTTCTCCGATTCATGTTTTTTACTATTTACAATCTTTGCGTCTTCCAGCAGCCATGTGCAAAGGTTTCAGCAACAGCTTCCATGCTGTCCAGTCATGTGTCAATTAAGGGCGATAATACATCTATAGATGATTTAGTCCCTCTGTGAACATCATAAAGTATGCAAATTAAGACAACCATGATATTACTAAGCAATATGATATCATGAGAGCATCATCATGTATGTGGGTTGTCATTTATCAAAATGTCATTCCTTACATGGCACAGTACCTACCAGTCAGGGTTCTGAGTTTTAGCCAGTAATATAATACACACTGGCAAGTTTATGCCAAAACTATTTACAGTATAAGGAATATATATGACTCACTTGGAAGAACTGAAAATAAGCCTCCAGAAAAAAAGCGCCCCCAAAATCTCACTGCAGAACTGGACAAGCAAGGGAACCACTACCCCTGCCACAAGAGAAGACTACAACAGAGTCAAGCCCCAGAAAACTCATCTCTGCCAAGTCAGGGAATCACCTTGCAAACCAGGACACTGCCTGACTGCAAGCTTGCTGTGCCTTTCCCACAGTCCACACCAACAAGGCACTTTCCTGTCACGTAGATCTGTCATGAATGGGCACCACATCATTGTAGATTAGGTGAAGCCTAAGTTCCATGTGGAAGCTGTCTGGCAGGGGCTTAGGAAATTCAGGTGCAAGCTTTTCCATGGTCCGTAGCGTAACAAAACCTTAACTTGTATTACAGGAGTAAAGCATGCTTCTACCACACAAGTGTACACTAATTTGTTCACTGCTTTTGTAAACACACTAAAGGGATTAGTCTTTTCTATTAAAGCTACTCTTAAGGTTTAGACATTCTCTGGTTAAAATGTAATAATCTCACAAAATTTTTTTTTAAAGCAAAATAATCTTTCAGTCTATTTGTTTGCACAGGCGACATCATTGTCCACATGGAACAACGAGGATTTATGAAAGTTCTGGCACGTATTGGCCCACAACCGAATATTCAGAAAAATATCCCACGTATGGCAATGTTGTTCCACCACAGAGTCTTAAACCCAAGCAAGAAATTCGAGCATGTTGTGGTAAAATGGAAGGAATAACTACGTTTAAGTAAATATTCAGCAACTATTTGCTTTACTTATTTTTCTCTCAACTCTTCTGATCATAATAAAATTTTCTACCTATTTCTTGTTTAGCTATTTAATTGATTTAAGTTGAACCAATCTAAGAAGCAAGGAACTACTGTAATTAAATCCCAACTTGAGAAAAAGAGAAAGATAAGAATTAGTTTAGTCTGACAAATGAGAAGGAAAAAGGGAAAAAAGCCATACTGATATTTTGAGAAGACTTATTTTTTTTGTTTTTGGTGCCGAAGACCGAACCCAGGGCTTCCAGCTTTCTAGGCATGCATTCTACTCCTGAGCCAAATCCCCAGCCCCGTACTGATTTGATCTTGCATAATGCCTCATTTTTTTGTACTTTCACTAGTACAATCACTTAGAGGAACATGGTGGCGTCCAGTTTGTCATGCCTGGCATTTGCCTCTAGTTTCTGGATCTCTGATCTGTGTTCAGTAATTTAAGCAGCTAAGACAGTCTTTATCAAATGCAGATCTAGTTCCTGTCAAATCGCTATTTAAAGTCCCCCTTCCACTCTCTTGTGTTTACCAGGACACACGTCTTTACCCCCACCTGCTAAACTAACTCCCTGCTCATTTCTCAGGATTGCTTTCCCTGCAGGGTCTCAGAGCACTTTTCTGCTCCCAGCTTGCAGGCCACGTTTCATTTCCTGACGTGCCAGATTCCCCTTGCCTTGCATCCTCCTAGATCCGTATTTCCCTCAAAACAGGGCACAACCAGAAAATAAGCCCTAACATGACTTTTCAAGATGCTTATAACATAAGCCCTACCCCCCAAGGAAGTCCCAGTTAAAATTGTCAGCTAGGTGGACACATTTAATATGTCTGTTGCAACACAAAATAGATGTATTGGATTATAAAGTAATATATAAATATAAATAGAGTACTTAAGTGGTAACATAAATTATAATTAAATATTTGTAAATATCCAAGTGTGTACCACTGGATGAGAGGTAAATACCTGTGTAAACAGATTAAGATTGCTGGAAGAGCAATTGGAGAAGACAACACATGACTAACATGCACAAGGATGTGGTTATGTCTAGGCCTTTATACCTGACAAAAATAAGACATTTCCTAAAAATGAGCCCTATTTTGTTTTTTTGCAGCAAAAAAATATAAAGCCTGGTTTTATTTTTGAAAAACGGTACTCTTGCTTTTCTGGAAATTTCCCTCCCTCTTCTTTTAGGTTAATATCCATTCAATTTGTAATTTTAAACCTAGTCATCCCTTAGGAAAGGCTCCTTGACACCTCACCATGTTTTCTGGCCAGGGAAGATTCCTCTATTTAAGTTCCTGAAGCAGCTTCATACTGTTTGTCATTAGTTTCAGTGTTCTGAAGAGAGGGAACTATGTCCATTATTTTCCTAATATTTATTAACATATCTAGTACAACTATTAACACAGAGAAGGTATTTAGTATTTGTTCAGTGGGTAATGGGAAAAAGTGCTATTAATTTTAAACTTTTTGGGGCTGGGGAGATAGTTCAGTAGAATAAGCGCTTGAGGGCCTGAGTTCAATCTCTGGTTCCACAAAAAAAAAAAATTAAACTTTTCATTTGGACCAAATTTGTTTTTCTTTTTAAAATCTTTATGCTTTTTGTCAATGTGGTGGATTAGCTATTTTCATTCACTATTTTATTTAAACTGCTAATACATTCACTTTGAGGCTATACACACATGACTGTCCCATCCACAGCATTGTCTCCTACCCAATGGGGTCATGCATGTACTACCAGTAGTTCAAGCTGGTGGGAAGTTATAAGGTATACACTATATTCAAGTGCCATCTTAGAAATTAAGTATGTAAGTTGATTCCTGTTATTTTAAGGAATTTATATGTAATTTGGGTATTTAAAATGCTCTATAACCACTTTTAATTTTAATGTTAGCCCTTTCCATTTCATTTTGAATAGAGCTTATTCTACTTACATAGCAAAAGTGAATACTTTCAGATTTTTATTCTAATACTTTTACCATTTCAGGCAACTTGTAGTAATTATGCTTTGGTGACTCTACTTACTTCTGTAGGCCTGTGACTCATTCACAGATTTGAATGAACTTAAAATTTCAGTACATCTCTAAGCACTAACAATGCAGATCCTGGAGCTTCCCCCAAAAGAGTAGATGATGGGGTGAGTCCCTGGAATCTGCATTGTTGGTGACGGTTGCCTAGGGCTCACTGAGGTGGGTCAGGCACTATCCTGCCCATAGCAGGTAACATTAAATATAAAACTGTTAAGTGCTTTGCTCTACTAATGTTTATAGTCTTGTGGAAAAAATAGCTAGAAACAAAAATCACATAAACAATGTAAATTATAGGAAATAAGATGATGACTTTGAACAGCTGATTAAAATAGCAAACGGGAATAGTTTTTCCCTTCACTTTAACGTCTTTTTCACCTTTTTAAGATGCTCTAATGGTCCCCAATGGAGATATGAAATAAATGTTCACATTTATGGTATTGAATAGAGGTTTTAACCAGCTGTAAATGTTAACATTGAGGTTTAACTATTATGTCTTTCTTACAAAAAGAAACAAAATAGCTATAAAAACCACGCATTAAATTTCTTAAGTTGTCAGCTCTTTGGAAGACAGTGAGTCTTTTATCTGTATATTGACTGAGAAACTTCTAGAATTTTTAAGAACCATAACATCAGGGCTTAAAACTGCTGCTTGACTCCTTCATGGTGGTTTATTTGTAGCTGAAACAAAGAATAGGTGTCATTCTATACTTATAATACCAGAAGATATTACTGGGTAAAGAGCTGGTATCTAAACATGTACAAGACTCTCAATCCTGTAGCATTATAATTGTAGCACATTTTCATAACTTCCAGACTGAGTAGGAAGTCTGCACAGAAGATGGGAGATTCAGAACATAGCACTTGTATTATATTCGGATGAGTAAGACAGCTTTCACTGCTTCTGCACAAATAATTGCCATGGGTGTGGAGGTTTACCTTCTAACATTGATCTAGGCTAACCAGCAAAGAAGACTTCCAAACTTTCCCTCTTTCTTTCCCTAATTTCTCTGCTTTTGAGTTGCATTTTAGTCTATTCCCTAACAGCTGGTGTTTGGAAAAATCAAAGAACAACTCACATTTCTTGAGAAGAAGAGGTACATGAGTTAAATAAATACAGTAAACATTTGGCACACTTAGGGAGTTGAGGGAGTTATGGGGGAGTGATCCACATGATCCCCGATGAAAGTTGCATATTATGATGGTGGTCAAATCGGAGAAAGATGATTAGATTTGAGAGATACAGGGGGCAAAATTGATAGGAACTGGGAGGATCTTAGGGGGTGAATGTTTTCTGACTGTGAGCTGAGAAGATGATGCTTTTCATTACCACAAGGAAGAATTAAAAAGACTAGATTTCTTGGGAGAAAGTTTTGTTGGAGCATGTGGAGTGTTGAATGGTCTTGTAAATAGTCTTGTGGAGCTTAGAGAAGAGCTTCAGGCTGAGAGATAAATTTGAGTCATTTCTGAGGAGGTAGTAATTGAAGCTGTGAGTAGAGGAGTTGTCCTCATGACTAAACATTGGTTAAGAGGAGAGTGTGTGGTTTAGGTCTTGAGGAACTGTTGAGTAGAACATATGACAGTTGGATAGCTGTGAATGACACTGCAGGAGCCCAAACAGTGATACAGAAGGCAAGAAGGGAGCATTGTCTGGAAACAGATTGTGTGGGCATAGTGTCAGATACTGTTGACTGACACTAAGGTGAGGACTGGAGAGATCTGATGTGTTTAATGACACAGAGTCACTGTAGAACTGCACAGGGAGAGTGACACTCCTGGATCCCAGAGTGAAGAAGACTGAAGAAGGGATAGAGGGGGGAGAGAATAGAGTCCACTGCCCAAGAAGGCATGCCATAAAGACAAGGGATTCAGTGTGTTTTTGCTGCAGCTGCTGCTTCTTTTTAGCTCATCAACATACATGAAAAATTTTCATTAATACAAGATAGTTGAAATGATGGCATGGCCAACAGAATCCAGAAGAAAAGGAATCTATGAGGACTCAGGTTAATGTAGCCAATACTGAAATAATAATAGTAGTAGCTAATGAATTGCCCTTACCACATACCAATCACTCTTATAGAGTCCCTGATCATTTAACAATGAGCAGGAAGACAGTATGACTTCAACAGGATGGAAGGATGCCCAAACAGTGTCTGAGAATCTTTATTCAGGATGAATAAGGATTTTGACAAAATAGATGCGGGGTGATACTGCTATACTTTGGAGGATAATCAAACCTTTTACCTGAGGTTTCCTTCCACATTAGAAAAAAACTCAATTACTTGAAGATTTTATTTGTTTAAGATCAAATTAACTGAAGATCTCTGATGTCTTAAAAGCTAGGACTTCTGCTATTTTCTTAACCTATTCAGTCATGAGATAGAGCCTTATAAAGGTACTCAATTACTTTCAAATACCTTATTATTTTGATATCTTTCTAGACTTTTCAATTTGAAACAGACTTTGACATTTCAATACTGGGATAATTGTAATAAAAGAATGTCAGGCTATGTTTCACATTTATTTCAGGTCAGATTATCGTCCTTATGAAATAGTGAGACAACCTCGCCACATACCAGAAGAATACAAACCAAAACAGGGGAAGATTGATCTTGGCACTACCTACAAACGAGATTTTAAATCTTATAAAGTGCAGCCTGTGGCAATACTTCGGTCTTTGGAAAGACAACAAGTTAAAAAAGGAAAGTTGGACACTGTCCCAACCTATAAAGGTAACTTACCATTGCAAAAATTAAGCAGCCAAAACTTCCAACTTTGACATCTAATATCAAATCCCTTAGCTTAGAAAAGGACTTTTTTCTGTTTTAAAGAGATAATGTATATCAGGAAGCAGAGACCATTCACCTGATGGAAAGATGAGGAACTCGGATTCTCCAACTTCTTAGTTTTCTCTATCTCAAAACATATTTGGTAAAGGATATCACTGAACTAAGATTATGTCACGTTTGTCACTGTGTCATACTTAGTTAGCCTTGCTTCCTTTATATCCTAGAATGAGTTGATCTCTACCAAGAAATGTGGAATCTTTGAAAAGGTTAAATAAGTGGCAGTTCCTTTCTTTATTCAAGTTCCATACCAACCTATAAAGCAACAGGGTTAGTAGATTTATATTGATGAAGACTAGGGTGGAGGCTAACCATCTGTAATCAGTTCCCAGTCCTGAGCCTTAGAATGAGATAAGCTTGTCCACCCCTTGATGGACAGTTGTTGATAGACAAACACACAGGGTACCTGCTCCTCCGATACTTCCAGCATGGAGTGAGATGCCTGCTCCCTGCTGGCAACTCTCCTATAAGAGTAGGAGCCAAGCAGTGAACAACCAGATGCTCTTGCCAAAAGAAAATCTGATTTTAAGATATTACATTTGTAAGATATAGGTCTTAACTTTAAAATATATATTATCTTGAGAGTGGATGTTTTCTTTATTGAATAATGTAATTGAATATATAGACTCACATTCTTTCCACTAGTTATATGGTATCGCTTAATGAATAAACCTAACATGAAGCCTTTTTGTAAGAGTGATGCCAGAGTGATGATTCATACTTTATTTTTTTGCAACTTTTTGTTTTTGGTGGAACTGGGGATTGAACTCAAGTCCTTGTGCTTGCCAGGCAAGCGCTTATTCTACTGAGCTGTCTTCCTGGCCCCTCATACTTTAATTTGGCAATAGCTAAATGCTTAGTTTTTCTTAAAATTTTACATTTACTATTTAATAGGTAAGTAAAGTGTGTGACCAGTATATTGTGATCCATGAGCCTACCCATTAGAGAAATAATAAACATGTTCTTTCTCAGTTTTAATATTGTAAGAATAAGATGCTGTACAAAGTCATATATTGTGAAGACGGGATATAGTGAAAAAGAATAGTATAATCAAATATAGTCACTCCCGTCAGTGGTTTTATTAAAATGCATAGGATATGATGTACTGGACAAATTTGATGGAAAAGATTACTGATGAAAATGGTTTCACTTCATGTTTTATCTAGTTACAGTGAGTTTTTTCTCCAGAAGATATATAAAAATAGATTAGTAATCTCTTGTCTTCTGATGCTGTTAATATTCACACAGTGCACGCACACGCGCGCGCACACACACACACACACACACACACTCACAGACCAACCTCTTTGGCTTTCCATTACCTTAGTTCCCTGTGGGTTTCTGTATTTCCACTACCTTAGTTCACAATTCCTTCTGGCTTTCAGCTTCTCAACTTTCTGGTCAGGAAAGGCTGTATTTTGTATTTGCAGGTATTCAGGCATGAGACAACAGAGATGTGAAGGGACAAGGCTACACTTCACCATTCTGTGCGATTGTACTGAAGGTTTGGTAGATGCCTCCTTAAGGGCAAGTATCTAAAATCTAACTGTAAAAGTTAGAAGAAGGAAGGACATAAATAGGATATGATAAAGAAAAAACTCCAAGTTGGTAAGCAGGTCATCATTTACAGTCTGGACATGTTTTCTTTTGTTTTTTGGTTGTGTACATCCAGGGATACATAAGTGCTAGACAAGCACTCTAATACTGAGCTACATCTATAGCCCTTTTTATTTTTGAGTCAGGGTCTTATAAGTTACCCAGGCTAGCCTCAAACTTGTAATCTTCCTGCCTCAGCTTCCAGGGTATCTGGAATTACTGGCATGATCCATTGTATCGTGACTTAAGACACAACATTTATGAAACAAACGTATTTGTCCCTAAAACTTCAGCATAGAAAATTATATTAAAATATAGATGGTGAAAAGATGACCCTTTTATTTGATAAATGTGTCTCAGTGATTACCTGGCTCTGTGCTAGCCATTGTAAGAAGTACAAATGCAGAAGGATTGTTGGCATTAGAAATTTTATAATTGATAACCAAAGACACAAAGATCTATATAGAAGATATGAAATACTGATGAAATCAATTGGACACAAATATCCTGTGTTCTTTGATTGGAAGAGTTAATATTGTTAAAATGTCAGTACTACCCAAAGCAATCTATAGATTCAACACAATCCCTATCAATATTTTGTTGACATTTTCCAAAGAAATAGAAATAAGCAATTGTACAATTCATGTTGAACAGTAAGAGATTCTAATTAATCAAAGCAATCTTGAGAAAAAAGAGGCGTCACACTTCCTGGTTTCAAATTATATTATACAGCTATAGTAATCAAACTATATGGTGTTAGCATTAAGAACAGGCACAAGAACTAATGGATCAAATCAGGAGCTAAGAAATATATTCAAGCCTACTAATCTTCAACAAGGTTATCATAAATACACAATAGAAAAAGAATCATATCTTCTATAAATGATTTGGAAAACACCTGATATCATATAAAACAATGAAAGTGGAACCTTATCTTATACTGTACATGGAAATCAACCCAAAGTGGATTAAAGACTTACACATAAGATCTGAAAGTGTAAAAGTCCAAGAAAAAACCATGAAGTTCCTTGACATTGGCCTTTGGAGTGATTTTTTTACATGTAACACCAAAAGCACAGGCAACAAAAGTGAGAATAATCAAATGGGATTACCAAAAAGCAACCTACAAGTTAAAATATTTGCAAACCACAGATTAAATGAGAGTAGTATCTAAAGTATAAAAGGAGCTCTGAATATACTAACAAAAATAAGCAGTTTCATTTTTATAATTGCCATAGGGTTTCAAAAGACATTTTTCCAAGGTCAACAAATGGCTGACAGATACATTAAAAGCTGCTTGTCATCACTAATATTAGGAAAATACATATCAAAAATAAACTGAGCTGTCTCCTCACAGCTGTTCAGAAGTGTCTTATAAAAAAAAGATAAAAGCTATTTACAAAGATATGGAAAGAAAAATAATCCTTGTATTCCTGTAGGTAGGAATGTGAATTGGTATACCCATCATGGTAAACAGTTCGATAATTCAAAAAAAAAAAAAATAGAACAACTATATCTAGCAGAATTCCTCCTCTGGATATACAGATGAAGGAAATGAAATCAGTACCTCAAAACATATATCTGCACTTTTAACATAAAATCATTGCAGTATTTACAACAACCAAGATATGGAAATAACTTAGATGTGCACTGGTAGATGAATGGATAAAAAAAATTGTTGGAGGGCAGAAAAGAGGAGGGAGGGAAGAGAGTCAGAGAAAGATACTTACCTCTTACTTGTTTAGGACTAGGGTTTCTCATATTTTTTGGTGATATATCTTGGGGATGGAACCTAAGTCTGAACACAAAATTCATTCACATTCTATATACACTTAGTGTATATTGCCTGAAGGTGACTTTATATAATATTTATAGTGTGCCTTTGTTTTCATTGTGATTGTTATATGAGGTCAAGCATGGAATTTTCTACTTATGGCCTCATTTAACATTCAGAAGATTTTAATTTTGAGCATTTTGGATCAAGGATGGTCACCTTTGTGTGTGTGTGTGTGTGTGTGTGTGTGTGTGTGTGTGTGTAAAATGGAATATCCAACATGTATACTTTAAATATTCAGAATTTTAACATAAAATCATATGGCCTATATTTTAAAAGAACTTTAGAATTAAAGGTAAATAAATTATATCATGAAAAACTAACCATATTAGAAATAAATTATATATCACAAGGTGAGGACATAATTTACTAGAATATTAGTGGAATAACCAGTGCTTCTGAAGTGCATAAGAGAGTAAATGATTACTGATATATAGTGATTACTGATATATAGAGTAATTACTGATATCGGAAAAATGTCTTTTGAGACCCTAAAAATAGCCTACCACCTGATAGGAAATGAGCAAAAAAACCCCCATAAAACCAGAAAATAAGAGGATTCTTCAGTAGATATGGTGGCAGCCAGAGAGAGTTAAACACAGTGAATACTAGAATTTTATACTTAATGGCTATATATTTCAAAACATAAGATGAGGAAAAATTACAAACAAGACAGTGTGATGATATTTCCAAGCAAATGGGAACAAAAACACGTAATTCATTAGCAGCACACATATATTAAAAATGTATTGAAGAAAGTTCAAGTGGAAGGAGATGATTCAATATAGATGTATGAAATGGATGAAAGAATGAAGTACAAAGACATGGAAAATATGTGGGCAAGACATAAAAGGATATTGAATTCTGAAAGTCACAATAGTAATAAAAATGTATAAGTAAAACATACTAGAATAATAGTATAAAATAATTGAAATTAAACTACATTCCTTCCATTTAAGTCCTATTTAAGTTCCTCTATTTAAGTCTGTTTAAAGTCTTTCTGTTTAAATGGCAAATGTATCGATTTAAGTTTGAGAAGGTCAGCTAGATCCCATAAGCCAAAGCATACATCTTATTTTTAAAAATATGAAATGTTACTGCGTGCTCACACCTGTAATCCCAGCACTCAAAAGTCTGAGGCAGGATGATCACTATGAGTTGGAGGCCAGCCTGGGCTACATAGTGAGACCCTACCTAAAAAAAAAAAAAAGGAAATATAACTACATGAATAATAAATAAAATATAATAATAATGCCTTTTAAGCCAAAAGAGGGTAGGAAATAAAAGGTATAGGATAAAAAAAGAACATATGGGGAGTATCAAAGCAAACACTGATATAGTCAGCCTAAGCCCAACTAAGTCTTTCATTACATGAACCATAAAGCAAATTAAATTGAAACTCAAAGACTGAATATTCACACATTAAAAGGATATTATGAAGAACATAACAAGAATT